TCGTATATGTCAATTTGAACGATACCGAAATCTTTACTACCGGGTCTCCTCCACCAATCAAAAATTTATAAACATTAGAGATATAAAATCAATTTAAAAAAAATAACAAGATTAATAATAAGTTAGCACAATGTAATTTTATGATTTTATAACTCCTAATTAATGATATAGAAGTTACATAAAAAAGAAAATTACATATATACCCTTCTCTCTCTCTATATATGAACACAATAGTTTGGTTAACATTTGAACCAAACTCTCTCTCTCTCTCTCTCTCTCTCTCTCTCTATATATATATATATATATATATATAAGGAGAGGTTCATTTGAGAAGTGATAAGTATTTGATAAGTAAAGAAGTGATCATAGCCCTTCATATGGTCAAGAATTGCGGCTTTGACTGGTCAAATGAAAAATAGAGGGATAATTTTGTAACTTTTGCAAATAGACGGCAAACAAGCATATACTTGAACCCATAAGTGCATATGTGAACCCATAGTTCATATGTAAATCACACGGAGTTTGTATGTGAATCACAAGGTTCATATATGAATTAGTTAATTAGTTTATATGTGAATCATACAGGATTTATATGTGAATCTGTTAATAGTTTATATGTGAATTACACGGGTTCACATATGAACATATAGTTCATATGTGAATCACACGTGCTCAGATATGACTTGTTTTGTCGTATAACACCCTCAAATCTGAAAAGAACGACTAATTTAAAATTTTCATTAAAATAATAAATAAATGGTAAATTCCTTTTCTATCAATAAATACCTAGATTTCCACGAATTACCAATCTAAAATAAATATCAACAAAAGATAGATCAAGCCTTATATAAAGACTAAGTTAAGGTTAAGTGATACTACTACCCAATAATAGTCCCTATGTCCAAATATGGAAGACGTCAATTATAAGCTAAAACCTTCTTATGCATTTAGCTAGTGCTCAACTCATCGTAGTGATGCTAGAACCAAACCCAACAAAGACCTGATGCACATGCCGACAAAAAAAAGAATTTAAACTTAATGCCTAGTGAGTTCTCAGTTTTCATCATAGATATAAGAATGGTAAAATTGAAAGATATTATTTAAACCACACTTCCCAAAATGAAAAGAATATGGAACAAAAGCAACATCCTTTCCAAAATCCATAATTTTCGTGATGAGAACTCATTTATCAAACATCTCTTTATCATGAAACAAAATACAATACTCACCAGAAAGTGAATGAGATAAAATGCCAAAACATAAACAAGATTCAATACCTAAACCATAAATAATGGGAAATACTTCATACCGAACACGTCACCGAAAAACATAGATAAAACTCAATACCCAAGACAACACCTTTCGGGGACAGGGACACCCGATTTCCATAGTTAGTGACGGAACACAAAAGTAGGCCACCGTGGGAAACGTTATAGAGCTTAACCTGAGGATTAATGACCCCAATAGGATCAATTATTAGCGATTCATAGTTCAAGGCCCCTAATGATCTCATGTACATTCATTCACTAGAAATTGCACCATATGGCCAATGGCAAGTATCCGGCTCCCATAAAACCATACCAAGTTGCCCCCGATGATCCCATGCTTATCTCTAGCTACAATATGGGAATAACCATCCCATTGAATTGACTCATAAATTACATCATGAGGTCAATGACAAATGTTCGACTTCAAGAGCCCACATCATAAGGCCCCCGATGACCCAACGATTATCCTTGCCACAAAGCAGGACGACAGTCCCATTTTAAATCAATAAAACCGACTCCTATGTCTATGGATCTATTATATTACAGTCTAAATTACATGACCCCAAATGAATGACCACACACTTAAAGCTTGCAATATTTCAAATAAATATGCTATAACTGGATATAACTTCAAAGTTCGACATAGAGTAAATAAACCAAACAAATGTCCCCAAGACTCATCTGAGTCAAACCAAGCCAAAAACTCAACGACTCAATTGACTATTAAATAAAAGTCATAAATAAAAACGTGTTTAACTAATGTTTATGCAAATGCATGCTCTAAATGAATGATTAACTGAAAAACTCAGTATTGGTTGGGATAAAACATTTTCCAACTGAAATAATACCATTTATATTTCAAAAAAGTCTCATAACATAATCAAACCAAATACACTACAAATGCATTATCACCGAATAATATTCATTTATAGGATAAATCATCAAAAGAACCCACACTTATAATTTATTTATCAAAATGTTCAAAGACCCAAGTATATGCATTTTACAAGATTTATCAACCCAAGTTTTCTAAATATGCAAACTTCATCAAATACTCAACACGTTTGATAAATATAAAGTAAAACACACTAATACTTCAAAATAAACATTTTGTCATGTACATAGTTTTCACAAAGTAACTTGAACTTACCTTGCTAGGTTAGATTAAACCTAGGTTTCAAACTTAATTCATTAGCTTCCAAAAGACGAAGATCTGAGATACTTAAGCAAAACCCACCAAGGAAATTTCTCAAGACTATTAACCAGGCCAAAGAAGTACTAATCATTAACTCAATCTTAAAAACCACAAAAACACCCAAATATACATCTCAAAACACCTAAGAAGCTTACTTCATCGATCTTTGAACATCTATGTTGAATCCTTTGCATTACTTGACTTAGATCTCCTCCAAAATGTTGTCAACAACTCCCAAAAATAGCCCAAAACGAGAGAGGATTGAAGTGGGTAAAGAATGGACAAATCCGAATTCAAAAATGGGGTTTAGAACCCGATCTTGGAATTGTGGTAGGTCTCCTGCGTCCAAAAACTCATTTTGCTGAAACAAAGAGTTATGCAGCTTTTTCCATGGCCTAGGTAGCGGGATAAGTAGAGGGATTTTCTGTTTCGCTCCCGATGCAACTTTTATCCATCAGAACTCGCCCTTACCTTAAGCTCTTAAGACCCAATGCATTCCACTTAAGGAACGACTTCTAAAGGTTCATTACAATACATCAATCTTAAGGTATGTTCAAAAGTACGAGTGTTACATGCTGCCTATTTGTAAAAGTTACAAAACTACCCATTTATCTTCTGCATACCATGCGAGAAATAATCTTGTGCTTTTCTATCAAAAATAATCTGGTGCTTCATACTCAAAGCTGCAAATTTTGACAAGATGAAGGGCTAGGATCACTTCTCTAATACTTACCAATTCTCAAATTAACCTGTGACTATATGTAGGACGATTATCAAATGAGAACCAGAAAAAGCTACAAAAAATACACGAAAATAATGTGAAACAAATGCATGTGAAACTATCACATTATGAAATAAAATATATGTAAAACAACATCTTAAATTCTAGTAGTTGATGAAAAAAATCATGCAAAAAATTTGTTTTTTAGCCGGTTCTCACGGTTTTGTAATCCTTTTGCGGTTCTCATTTGATTTAACCTATATATATATATATATATATATATATATATATATATGGAGAGGTTGAAATGAGAAGTACTAAATGTATGAGAAGTAGATAAATGATCTTAGTCCTTGAATCAAATGATCAATTTTTTTTAAAGGAATGGTAATATGGTAAATTGGAAAAAAGTGGCGATGATGATCACGATCTCAATACCGTTAAGGTATTGATCATTTCATCGTCATTGTTGATGACAACAATGGAAGTCTAGTCAGATAGACGATCTCGACCCCGTTAGTGATTTTGTCATTGATCTCTCAATTCTTTCTCGATCATATATATATATATATATATATATATATATATATATATATATCGCAATTCTAGATTATCAAATTTCTTAATTCTTTCTCAATCAAATCTTGTATTCTTTTAATAGAATCTGACTCCTGAAAAAGTGATCTCGAGCAAGATGTTGATTTTGACCTAAACTATAATGTTATATGTGAATCTAAGATTAATATATGAATCAATTAAATAGTTCATATGTGAACGGATCAAAATGGTTCATTTCTCCTTTCTCCTTCGACGCCCAACACCTTTGAATACAAGCACCTCTGACCACCAGCATTGTGAACACCATGGTAAACCTTGTGATAGATGCATATTATGTAAGGGTTGGGTTTCGGTGAGAATAGAAGTTGTGGTGAAAAAATGTAAGAAGGGGTCTCCACCTTGGATCAATATTAATGAGATGCACAAAGATGCATCAGATCAATTCATGTATCAAACACAATTTATGGGATGAGGGTGAGATTAAAAGTGATCAAAGGTTCAAACCTATTTTTACGTTTCTCATCTTAACTCCTATTCTCATACGATCTTTCGTCTATTGTGTAAAATTATATTTTTATATTAAATATTTTATAACTTATTTAGATCCATGATCCAACAAGATATGATAATGTTATAAAATATAATATTCAATAGAAAAGCCAAAATAAAAACTCTATTTTCTGATATTATTTGCAATTTAACCCAATTTTCAAGAAAGACGCTTATTAATAAATGTTAAGTGAAGAGGGACCGAAAAATATACAAGAATAAATATATAGATATCAAAATCTACCTATTTATACAATGATGAATTAGACAAAAACAACAAAGAAATCCACAATATTATCACCCTTTCCCAAAGGTAACCAATACTAGTTCCATTTTAAATAAACTATAGAAAGACCTTTGAGCTCGTCTTCATGAGATGATAAATCACAAAGATCACCAAGTAGAAAGAAAATGGTCCTAATAGAAAAGATTGGTGCTCTAGAATGCAATGTTGAAGACCTTATTACAAATACAATGGGTGTAGACACACTAGCTCTCAAACATCTCCTTGTGAAGAATTCTTTATTGTACTAATACTCGAAATATAACCTGCAAAAACAAAATATGAACTTGTTAACGATGTGTTATATATGTATATATATATATATATATATATATATTAGTATTAGGAAAGAAAATGGTTAATCATCTATAAATAATATTTAGTAATACTTACATGAATGTTTGCAAAAGACCAAGTTATGGGAGCCTAATAATGAACTGGCGGTGGAGGAGAAGTGTAGATGTATACGGGTGATGGAGCTGATTTTACTGGTGGTGGAGGTGATGTGTAGTGGTAAGGAAGAGGAGACGACTTCTTAGGTGGTGGGGGTGAAGTGTAGTGGTATGGTGGAGGAGGAGATTCTGTAGGTGGTGGGGGCGATGTGTAGTGGTATGGTGGAGGAGGAGACTTGGTAGGTGGTGGAGGGGATGTGTAGCGGTATGGTGGGGGAGGTGATTTCACAGGTGGTGGGGGTGATGTATAATGGTATGGTGGAGGAGGATACTCTGTAGGTGGTGGTGGTGATGTGTAGTGGTATGGTGGAGGTGGTGACTTTTTAGGTGGTGGGGGTGAAGAGTAGTGGTATGGTGGAGGGGGCGATTTTATAGGTGGTGGAGGGGATGTGTAATGGTACGGTGGAGGAGGAGATTTTGTCGGTGGTGGGGGTGAGGTGTAGTGGTATGGTGGGGGAGGCGACTTCTTAGGTGGTGGGGGTGAGGTGTAGTGGTATGGTGGGGGTGGTGATTTCTTAGGTGGTGGTGGTGAGGTGTAGTGGTATGGTGGGGGTGGTGACTTCACAGGTGGTGGCGGTGAGGTGTAGTGGTATGGTGGGGGAGGCGACTTCTTAGGTGGTGGCGGTGAGGTGTAGTGGTATGGTGGGGGAGGTGACTTCACAGGTGGTGGTGGTGAGGTGTAGTGGTATGGTGGGGGTGGCGACTTCATAGGTGGTGGCGGTGAGGTGTAGTGGTATGGTGGGGGTGGCGACTTCACAGGTGGTGGCGGTGAGGTGTAGTGGTATGGTGGGGGAGG